TTATATATGTTATTTCTATTGTGAAATATAAATAGAGGAATGTGCTCTCTATTACAGGACAGGTTCCTAATATTAGATAGCGGAGTTTCTGCCAAATTAACACACCCTCAGAAAGGATTTCTGTTACCGAGACAAAAAATTTTCTTGACGCATTTTAATTTCTCGCAATCTCGTTTAGTATAAAAATAGGACGACATCAAAATGAAGTCAATAATTCTTATTCTTCTCTATCGAATTAAAAAAGATTGGCTTATTATATTGAGACAGGAGTAGCTTATATATGTTATTTCTATTGTAAAATATAAATAGAGGAATGTGCTCTATTACAGGACAGGTTCCTAATATTAGATAGCGGAGTTTCTGCTAAATTAATAGACAGCATCTGTTGGTTCCACCTCCACATGAATTTTTTACCCTCGGAGTGAAGCCTGTTTAGTCGAAAATTGATGGTCAGATTGTGTAGTCGTTGCGAAAAAGATCTTGAATTTGGACGGCGAAAACCTACTATCTCGTATTAGAATCCTATCTCGTAATAGGAGACTTTCTTGTGCAATTGAAATATTAGGCGACTAAGTTATTCATCCAAAATCTACACATTGCTCACGTAACTTGAATATACATGGTTTTTTTATTGAAAATGATAAATTAATCTTAAATCACTGACGACATTTTAGTTTTTCAATGTCAAACGCGATTTCTGTGATTAAAAAATTATCACAAGTAGCAATGAAGTGAGGGATTAAATATTACGAGTGTCGATGCCTAAATCAACGGAAAAGAGAGACAATTGCTACGTAATATTTCATGTTGTGAAGTGTATTCGTTAATTTCTAGTAATTCGTCGAATCTGCGCATTGAATTCTCTTCCGATGAAATTTTCAAGCTTGAACGTTTAAGTAAACTTTAAATTAAGATTCTGTTGAAGTAAGATCCTTATCCATTCGTCCTCATCGATTTCCCGGCTCCTCTGCGCCTCTAGAATAAGACCACCGCATCGTCTTCGAGTCAGGTAGATCTTAGGCACTTTGCGGTATCTAAAATGGATTCGTGGAGTTCATTTTCCGGCGTTGAAGGTGATTATTATATACCAGACGAAAGATCCGGCGGCGCCTCGTCCGTTTCGGCCGCGCTTCCGTCGAGGGAGCCGAGTCCGTTTTAAAAGAATGCTCTTTCTCCCCGGCGCGGCGGGACTTATAACTCGACTTGATTGACCCTCCATTACCCCCTCTATTCAGCCACCCTCGAATGGCAGTTTTGCCCTCTTTTATCTCGAAATTAAAAAGAGGGCCAGTCGCTGTCGTCTCGGCCGGCCGCTCGCGCCGGCTCGGCTATGAAGAGAATGGAACAACAAAGAGAAGCCCGACACAAAGTGCGAGAGGATTGTGAAAGAAGGGAAAAGATGGTGTCAGAGATGAGGACGAGGGGGGGGGGGGGGAGGCAGTTGGATAGGACGCGAGTTGGCTTAAATTTAATTCACCTCTCCGGCAACCCTTTTCTATTCTCTCTTTATCACGACTCCGGGGCGGGACGGCGGGGGAGGGAAGAGGGGAGAAACGAGGTTGGTGGAAGACCAACTCGCGAATGCAATTTCCTCGCGCGGCGCGAGCTGTATGTTCCTGCGGGTTGAAACTGCCCGGGCCGACCGATGTCGCGTCCTTTTTCCGGGGGCCTGGCTCATTCGGAAAGTCCTTTGAACGTGACGATAATGCGAACTTACGGCACTTCATTTCACCGTGGAGATTTATAGCGCGCTGGTAACACGCGCGGAGAGACCGCTTCTTTAAATAGGTCGGGATAGGTTTTCGCAAATTGTTAGAATCCTGCGCGATAATATTCGCGGTGAGATGAATAGAGCGTGCCGAGGAGTAGAAACTTTCGTCGTAATGCGAACTGGAAAATTATCTTATAATAAACATTTCACGACAGTATCGTTTTCTTATATCTTGTAGTTTCTCTCTTCGTAAGGAAAAATGAAACGCGAGTAGGTTACGAGGCTTTCGTATATTAAACGAGATTTGAAGTTAAACGTTCTAATTTTACTGGATGTGCGAACGAATCGATATAATACTTTGGCAAACATGTTAAATTACAATTGGAAAGTATAACTTTGTGGTATTGCTTACGTGCACTGAGAAAAATGTCTGATTAAATATAATCGGACAATCCAATTGCATAATAACGAACTGACATATCCGATTAAACTGTATACCCGATGGAAGATGTGATCGGTTTTTCAATCAAATTTCATTACTGCATTTCATCGTATGTATCCATAATTTAATCGGAAACACTATTTAATTGATTTATCCGGTGAAAACTTTTCTTAGTGTAGTTAGAGAAAGTGTATATTTTTTTAAACTTATTTTTGTATTTATTTACATAAAAATACATGAATGGGGAAAAAAAGACGGTTAGCAATCCATTTTGGGGCCCACAATTAGTAATCGAATTATTTGGATTGTTTGTGACACTCCAATCTTTTACGAATTTTACTCCGCGTAACTAAAACTCGCAATTAGCTATTCTATCCATATCCAAAAGATTAAAGTAATGCCAATCAATTCTCTCAATTAGTTCGGTCGATGTTCGGTAACGCAAGGATAATTTTCACTTAAGAAGCATCAACCGAAATGTTAAGTAGCTTAACTACAAAAACAAACGGTCGAAATTTTTCCGAGAGTAGAGCTACGAACAATCCAAATAATTCGATCGCTAATTGCGGGCCCCAAAATGGGTCGCCAACTGTCTTCTTTTTCCCAAAGCGCATGTACAGTGTACAATCTAATAATAATCGACGAGGATAATAATACATTAACTAAACGCATTGTGTACAAGTAGGAAATTAATCTTATTTCACGACGCGATCACCGTGACGACAATAATTGCGATGATCCTAAATGATAATTGTTCGTGCGTTCGCAACGCAACTTTCTGCTTCCGACTTCACAATTGACGGACGGTATCGAGCACATGAATAAATGAATTATGTAGCGTAACGAGGGAGGGTTATGTAAGAGCCGGTACGAATCGCGACGATTAATTGGCTGGTATGCCGTCGTTAGCGACGGGCCTGATCGAAAATGGCGTAATCGTTGCACTTGCTTCCGATTGCGATTTCGTTCCTGCTGCGCGAAATCGCCGGGCGATTGTAAAATTAGCGCTAATCCATAACGGAAAATCGGGTCACGTTATGTGGCGGGTGCAATTTCGACGAGCCGAAACTATTCCATCCCGCCGTAATCACCGTAAACCGACGTGGATTTTGCCGGGGCTGAGTCTCTCCGTTTTTTTTTTCGGCACAAGAACGCTGACTGGGCCGAACGTTCCTCAAACGTGACGGTAATACAAAGCGCGAGTCCTTGGCGATGTGACGCGTCGTTAACGACGGAGAATGATGTTACGAAATGTCAAGAGATGCACACAGATAATGTCTTTAGACACGTTTTTCCAGCCTTCTCGTGCATCGCATTGTTCGCTCGCGCGTGTCTACTTTAAAAACCGCTTTTAAACCGACGGGACTAATTTTCCCCGCTTAGTTTCGCGGGAGTTTCCAAAGTTGCCCGGCGCTTGGAGTTGACATGGAAAAAAATTCATAAATCAAAAGCTGACCAACTCGAGATCTTTTTTTTTAGCGAGCGCGCGGCGACGTGCGCCGGATACTTGGCTCGAAATTAATTTCCGCGATTACCCTAAGTATTTCCGTGGCCTCGCCGCGATTTAGCGAGCTCAAGTATCCAAAACTAGTTGAAAATTTTGGCCGGAAACTCGGACTAATCAATTTCTCTTAACATCGTTTGCAGCACTCGGCCCGTTCGGAGGCGAAGAGGTATCGCCCGCCTAACTCAGCCAGGACCTTGGCGCCGTACACCTCGTCGTTCGTCTCCCGCGACGCGCCCAAGGGAACGATGCGGTGCTCGATGACGTGATCGACCTCTCGGTCAGCTACGCGCCGTGACCTCGTTCGAGCGGTTGGCCATTCACTTCTTCATCCAGCCAGCAAGCTCGGCGACGAAACAGAATCGAGAATCTCGTTCCTTTTTCGAGGAAGAATCGAGAGACGGCGGCGAGTTTCATGGAGTCGGACGTCTCTCGGGGCACCGACTTGTTGACGCGCTCGAGGAGAGAGAGAGTGCGCGAGGGAATGTCAAGATCATGAGGGCGCCTTTGTAATGACGGATCGCACGCTCGACGGGACGAAGGGCGAAGAACGATCGAGACGCGCGGAGGGTGGCTGTGACCGGATGCTTTGCTGACACCCGAAGAAAAGGGCGCGAGAGGAGGGCAAATTTCCGGGTGGTATGACAAACGCGTGAAGAACGGAACGCTGACGACGTCGCGCGCGCTAGTCATTGAGACGCGTCGGCGAAAAATTCCACGTGCCGGCGGGACGCGCGCCTCTTCCGCTACAACGCTCGGGAGGAAACACGAGACCCAACGGCGAGACGCTCGCCTCCGAGCCGGGGAGATGAGCACATGAGAATCCCCGACGTGCGGAGACGTGACTATGAAAGTCGATGGACGAGAATCAGGACGAGGATCAAGACCCGGTCGGACGTGAGAGTTTTTTTTCCTCGAGCGGAAGCAACTGGACGCGACGACCCGACGCGACTCCGGGCGGCTAGCTCGGTCCGAAGCAACTGAGAGCGAACGATGACAAATCCCTGGTCCACGTGAGAGACCCCCCGCGCGCGAATCTCAGCGTGAGGCAAGGTCGTTGGATGTCCGCGCGGTGCAAGTATCCGCGAATCGGGAAGGTCACTCGCGATCGTCGCCGCGGTGGCCGCGCTGTCATCGTCGCGGGGATCGTTCCGCCTTCCCCACTCGTCGGCGGCCACATGACTTGACGATTGCCCCCATCTCCTCTCCGCTGCTGCTCCTGCCCGTTGACCGAAGGCGGCGGCGGCAGTGGCGGCGACGACGTCACGGCGACGTCAACGTGGACGATAGCGACGAGGAGTCAACGGCGCGGTGGAGGGTGCTGCCGGTGCTTAAAGCGAGTGACACGCGCCGCCGGCGATTCAGTCGTTCGCAGGCGGTCGGTCCGCAGGTGCGAGGACGCGCGTGGGTGCGTGTGTTGTGTGAGTGATCGCGTTTTCCCGGATCGTCGTCCGCGCGTACGCGTGAGTAGTCCGTGAAAGGGAGCACCCGCGCGGAGCAGCGCCGAGGGATCGGCCGAGAAGAATCGCGGAACAAGAGCGGCGGACAAGAGGGTGAGAGAGAGAGGCTGTGGATCCTTCTTCCTTTCCGTTTCGCTAAACGTGGTGCGTCGTGACAACCCGTGGTGTTCGTCGTGGTGGCGTGGTGCTGCCATCGTGTCGCTGCTGCCCTGGCGAGCGGTGGATATATGGTGTTGGTGGTGGATATATTATATATATATAGCAGTGGATGATAACGGTGGCCCGCGGGGGTGGCGAAACTGGAGCAGCCGGTGGCGATCGTCGTCGTCGGCGCAGCGGAGGAGCTATCATGTGCACGTGGCGGATTTTCGGACTCGCGGTCGTGGCCCTGCTGACTCTCGGCGGTAGAGCGCGCGCGTACACCAACCAGTGGGCGGCACACATCGTTGGAGGCGACGAGGCGGCCAGGCGAGTTGCGGAGGACTATGGATTTCGCTATTTGGGCAAGGTCAGTGTCGCTGCTTAATCGCTGGGCCCCCGCGATCGGGATCCTGGCGGTCTTCTCCTTTCTTTTCAAGCGCGCCTCTCGACGGTCGCGGAAAACTTTTTCGCACGACCGCAAACGCTTGCCCGAACACGGGGCGTCTGCTTTCCGCGATAATTATTGTATTGGCGGTAGTTTATTTAATCGACTGTGATAAAATGGAAACGGCTATGGGACGGGGATTATCGGCGAGTAATGAGTATTATATTTAAATGAGATTAATTGATCCAAATATACCCTTTAGCCGGTACGGCATATACAAAATCGAATGGAAAAGTATAAGTATTGAACATGTCTGTTAATTGAATCGTTGGAAATGGAAGCGCTGCGAGACACACGCGGTGGAATGAACAAGGATGACATCATCGCGGAGGTGGATCGTACAACGCGCTTGAGATGAGACACGATGAGATTTAATAGCAACGTTCCCCCAGACAACAAACGGTCTACGCCATTCGGTTCTGGCGGCTCGATTAGTATACAACATCCAGGTTAAAATTACAAGTTTATTCGCTTGACATTATCAGCCGCGGTAAATTTGTATGCAAATTCGCGTTAGAGAATTCTATTCTCGTGTAGAATAATTGGACGTTGCGGCGTGGAGAACCGCTTTGACTTTAATTAAATTCTATTTCATCATTCATTCGCGGAGTTAAGAAGCGCAGAGATCACGCGAATTGATCTTCCCCCTTCATAAATTGGATATGCGAATTAATATTTAAAGAAGAAACATATGCTACACGGCGGGCGGTTTAAATATGCAATTAACGATCCGCAAATACGTTGAATTTGTTCGCCGATATTAGCTTTATTTAAAAGAGATATTTTCAAGAGAAACGTGATCCCCGCCACTGAGGGATATTTTAAAAAGCCTCGTAATCTTTGGTATTTTGATATTTTTATCTTGAAATGGAGAGATAGAGACTTGCTCCTCTCGCTTCGCTAGCGCGCCGAACTTCAAAGGAAACTTTCGTACCGTGTAATAGCGTTTGAGATCGCGAAATTGGCGGAGAATTAACTCGATACATTTCCAACCGATAGGTTTCGTGCGGGTTCCGCCGTGTTACCTATATCTTGCTCCGAGTTAAATGGTATAAACTCCCAAATGAAATCCTTATGGAACTCTATTATCTCATTCGGTTTCGCTCGTCGATACGATTCTCACTCCAAGGAAGCTCGATTGACATTCTCATCGTTTTTACGACAGTAAAGCTGAGGTCCTGTGCTTTCCGTTTCTTTTTTTTTTTTCCTTGAAGAACACGGAACCGATTTTTAGTGGCATTTGATTTTTCATCATTTTTCGCGATTCGGAGGAAACCTGTCGATTTCGAAGCGGACATCGAGTCCATTGCCGTATTTTTCATGCCTTCTGCGATCACAATGGAAAAATTCCCCGCCGCTCGTTCATGCCGTTTCATCACGCTCTCTTTTTTTTATCACGAGGGACGAGCGCGATCGTCGGGGAAGGGTCTATAGGTATAGCGCACTTCGTTGATCCGCTGTGTAATAATTCCCGGATTGTAATTTCTTCGGAAAATTATATAACTCCATTCACGAAAGGGAGAAAGAGATTCGGTATTTTTAGATTTCGATTTACATCTTCCTGCGAAGCAGACGTGATCTCATTTTGGCACTTAATCACACATCAGCACACACGCAGAAAGCGTGCGATAATTTGGCTCGGTTTACTTTATGATATTCCTACTTCGAACGTGCGCATGAAATGTATTGTTATTAATAATAACATTATTTTTATTAACTTTTTTTATTCAAATATTTTGCTAAAGTTAGTATTAACAGTAACAAACTGAAAATCAATATTAAATATTAACAATACTATAAAAATAAGATTTGCAGACACGGAATGAAATTTACGTACGACATGTGCGGATTTTTAATTAGTAATTTTGAAAGAAATTAGCGCCAAAATCTCGATCGTAAAATTATATTCAATACACCGCGGGCTTTTTAAATAATTTTAAAAGGAATCGAATGTTAGGTTTCTACAAAGTTGTTGCAATAATCGTGCTTAGAACCGGTCACGGAGTAAAGGCTTCTCGTATGAAGAAATTGTAGCCACGGCTACTCATTCGTCTCGCTTATCAGACAAGATAACGATCCAATTCCACCCGACTCTCCTCGTGAAACAGCCGATCGCTGACGTAAGTCTCGGTGACGCGCGCGCCTCTGTTTCAGTGACCGTGAAGGCCGCAATGTGGGCTTCGTCGTCGCAGTTGTTACAGACGGAAATTAACCTCCGCGACAATCTCCTTTCTGCCTAAATAGCTCGCGACGGAAAATCGAACTCGCTATCTTCGCTTTCCACGTCGGTTCTTCCTCAATCGGGCACAATCGGCGGGACTCCAATTTGGAAGGCACCGCGCATACACTGTTCCACCGAGATGTCGCGATAAATCGGCCTCTCGAGCCGACAATATCCTGAATTTCGGAGAAACCCGTTGCGTGGAAATGTTTTTCATTTCTTAAATGTAAGTTCGCGATTTTATTTTCGTCCCCGTTAATTTCGACAAGTTTATTCTGAAAATAACATAGAATATCCCGTATCTCGGACAGAGAAAGAATAAACGTGCTCTTGTCCTTCTCGTTCCGTACACTGATAGAAAAATACAATATGTAGTATTCGAAACTACATGTAATGGCATAGTAAAATAATTATAATCAGGAATATAATTTTTATAGTAATTATTACTAAAACATTAGTAATAGCAACCATATAGACGCAGTGATGCCAACTATTTAGAAAAATTACTATAAAATATAAGCTTTTGACTATTATTCTGTTAAAATATTCAGGTAATGAATCGTAAATTAGTTAATCATTTTTATATAGTAAATACGATCACAATATAGCAAATTTAACTACATTTCTATCATCCACTTTACTACTCACCTGGTAAACAAAAGCGAAGTGGTTCGGCATGTCCCTCACTAGAGGGACGCGCGGTACAAGACTTTCTCGTAACAAGAAAACCGCATAGAGTGTTATATTTCTTTCAAAGATGCTTTCTTGTACTATTCTGTACGAGTGCAAAGTGATGTAACCAATGAACATAGTGAACGCAATGTATATAATAAAAAGCGGGGAATATTACTTTTAATATAAATACGATTATTACTATTACATATAGTTATTCGAAATTTTACTTGTGGTTGTTATTGCAATATTTGTAGTACACCTTGCCAAATTAAAAGCTCGTTCTGGTTTTTGACAACCACGTCATAAGTTGCATGAACCAATATTGCGTCTACGAAAACTATAATACATTGTTAGGTCAACCATAACTTACGTAGTTGGAAGAATTATAAAAATGTGGTTGGTTCCTAAAATGACTATAAATTATAGTGAGATTGTGGTAGCTGCAACCATTTTTTTTCTATCAGTGTATGAGTGCAAAGTGATTAACTAATAAACATAGTGAACGCAACGTATATATAATAAAAAGCGGGGAATATTACTTTTAATATAAATACGATTATTACTATTACATATAGTTATTCGAAATTTTACTTGTGGTTGTTATTGCAATATTTGTAGTACACCTTGCCAAATTAAAAGCTCGTTCTGGTTTTTGACAACCACGTCATAAGTTGCATGAACCAATATTGCGTCTACGAAAACTATAATACATTGTTAGGTCAACCAGAACTTACGTAGTTGGAAGAATTATAAAAATGTGGTTGGCTCCTAAAATAACTAGAAATTATAGTGAGTTTGTGGTAACTGCAAACATTTCCTTCTGTCAGTGTAATCAATTAATGTAGTGAGTTAACGCGTTAACAAAAGTAGTAGATAAATTGCCGGCTAAAAGGTTAAGCGGTAGTTTTAATCGTCGCGATATTCTTTAAACGGAAATCATTTTATACATTGCTTAATACCTCGGTAACGATTGTTGCTAATATCTGAAAGCTTACATTGACGCCGGTTTTTCGAGTAGTTTTCCTAACAATTAACGCGTATCTACGCTTCTGTTTTTACTTGTAATTGCGAAGCGGCGGAAGCATGACAAAGCCCGGCGTACATAACAAAGTGTAATTTGCAATTACGCGCGCACTGATACTAATTTTTAAGATCGAGTAATAACAGGATGTTGCGACTATAAGGGGAGATAAGCGCGTATTGTTTGCTTTTTTACGCGCACATTTCGCCAGCGCGCAGCCTCCTCCGTTTAATTTAGACCGCGGAAAACTCGCGCTATTTAAATGGCTCGTTCGATCTCGCGTTCTTTCCGGTTTTATTTTCTTATTTCTCTCTTTTTTTTCCCATCGAGAGATCTCTCGCAGCGAGAGACAGGCGATGCTCACGCGTAAGCCGCGCTCTCGCGGAATAGCGCCGTAACATAAAATCGCACGTTCGAAACTGTAATGCGATAAACAGAATTTTAAAACGGGAATTCGCGGAATTGTGAAATTTTAGTCGCATTAATCTCCCACGCGGAATATAGGAACTCACGGGTTTTCCGTGTGTGTCAGCTGTTCCGTTACGCGCTGAAGTGGCCTCGGATGTTTGCCGATTTAATTTTGCAAACGGCTACAATCACTTGCGAAACGCCGAATGATCGGCGACCGTGGCGTTTATGAGCGCCACGTTAATAGAACGAGTACACATATGCACGTTGGACGCTCTTCTGGCACGGCGTATCGATCTCTCATTGCTTTTCGTGAACTTTGTAATTTTCCACGAATAATTTGCAAGCGTCGAATATTTTTCAAGATAAAAGCAGCAACATGTATCGCTGATTATGCAAACCATGCATTAAACATACGTAAGCGGTGCAACTCGCAAAAGCAGAGGGAAATACCGAAGAAATAACGGATGCTGAAAAATATATTTAACTGAGCATAATTGCTTTGTCCCACAGATAATTATCTTTACTCATTATTGGTTTTTTTTAATTAAGCCTCCATTTGATGTACGCTCATTTCACGCTGTCCTTCATGTTTTA